TCTTTTATTTCATGAGTCTGTACATTTGAGACACAGGAACTAAACCTAAAGGAACAAAGAACGAAAAAATACAGATAAAAAGGGGAGGAAAGAAATGCCAAAAAGGATAATGAGGTTTCAATAAATACTTAATAATAAATAAATAAATAGTTAAATAAACAGGCGTTTCCCAAATACAAAGTCTTGGTTGACCTATGATTCACATTAGAAGTTCTACCGGTACAAATTCTGTAATAACGGTTTTTAGATTTTTGAAAATGATATTCTTAAATATTCTGCAAATACAGCCCGAAAAATGATGATATATGGATGATAATGCGACATTGATAATGATTAATATGCCCATATTAGGAATCTACTCAAAGATGAGGTATTTCGAAAAGCCTGTTAAACTTCAAATAGTTATCAACTATCTGAAGTCGAGGGATCCTGACGTAAAATAAATATGGCACAACATCATGGCACCATCTGTCTTTCAAATACACTAAAATGCCATCGAAGAGTTAGAATGTTATTGATAAACATTCCATTTGTTTTGTTTTCATCTTTCTTTAAACTAAAATATTCGGAAATATTTCAGCGAACGAGATCGTGCATTCTGGGAACGCTTTCCAACACTCTCCCTTTTCTTTGCCGTGTCTGCCAGCTTCCATATATCTCCCGTGTAGAGTGTCGATCTCGTTCTCCATGTCTTTAATTCGGTATTCAGCTTTTATGAGATCTCTGTGAGAAAAAGAGAAGAAAGAAAAATGGGAATAAAATTGTTGTTAGATTGTATTAGCGGCATGACTATCTCGCACTCACGCAGGGATACGAACACTTGTTTTTAGCCGTTGGAAAGGTAAACAGTAGAGCGTAAAGAATTAAATTTGAAAAGTGAAAATTAATAACTAATGTTGGCAGATGATTTTCGGGAGTAGGTATGAAATTCCATGAGCTACCAGTTGATTAAGACTACAAACTCAAGTCCGTAATGCAGTGCTAGCTTGTACGAAGTCCTAACAAAAACGTAAGTGAAAGTCTCGTGTGAAATCAAAAGAAGGGCATTTGATATGTCTGAGTACAAAGAGTATACATAAGTAAAAAGAAAAAAAAAAGAAAATAGAAAAGAGAGAGAGCGATAGATAAAGATATATATATATATATATATATATATATATATAGATAGATAGATAGATATAGATATAGATAGATAGATAGATAATAGATAGATAGATAGATAGATAGATAGATAGATAGATAGATAGATAGATAGATAGAGGTAGGTATATATGGATAGATATACAGAGAGGGGAAGGAAATGGATAGGTATAGATAGATAAATAGAGAGAGAGGGGGAGAAGGGAAGGAATATATATATATATATATATAATATATATATATATATATATATATATATATTATATATATATAATATAATATATATATATATTATATATATATATATAGAGAGAGAGAGAGAGAGAGAGAGAGAGAGAGAGAGAGAGAGAGAGAGAGAGAGAGAGAGAGAGAGAGAGAGAGAGAGAGGGAATGGCTTCCCAAAGATGTTAAACAAGAGTTCTGGATAGGCAGAGTCTCAGAACGCAGACTCTCTAGAATTCCTGGTGAGGCAAGTGATGATGCTGACAATCTGCTTCTGTATGTTTTTGGATAATTAATTAGACAACGTTCAGGTACCAGCGATGCATATTTTGGGATAATTCATGAGGCAGCGTTCGTATAACAAAGATGCATATAGTCTGGTGCTGATTTCCTGCTTGTAAATCCTTAAATTTGTCATACGGGGATCATAAGAAATTAAGCATTCTCATTTAGAATTTCAGGATACAAATCAGTTCATCCTGAGTTCAAAATCCGAAGTGCTGAGTAAAAATGTCTTGAAAGAAATGTTTCCCAACCGAACTGTTTGGTTTATGAAATCATCTGTTAGTTCCACATGCTATGTGGAAAGACAGGGTTGTTGTTATGTATTATCTAGTTTCAGCGAATCTACTGGATATGATAGTTTGACGCCACTTAATCATCCTGAAATTTCAGTTGTTAGACATGGTTATTTTGACTGCACAATCGAAGGAGTGTGCCTTGCTTTAAAGTGAACTGCGAGACCTGTGGGGAAGATAGTGTTTAGGGTGATAAGGGAATATTGGTCTATTTCAGCTACTCTGAGGAAACTATTTCCTGACCTTTGACTCAAGTGACCGCGGCATCTACTAAATCTTTCAAGAACAAAAGCAGAAAGTGTAGTAGAATGTTCTAAAAAAATGTTTATTTTATGACATAGAGTGTGTGTTCCTTTTAATAACATTTATGGCATGATGAAGATGGCGATTTCTTGATAGAAAGGGTGAACTAGTTTAGAAATATAAACTAACACAGCTGTAAAATAAAGTGAGTACCAACCTTAGCAAATACTTGGGAATTCTAGTTTACATATTTTTACTGAAAGCATTAAGGTCTGGGAAGAAAGAAGAAATGGAGCGATAGCCATTTTTGGAAGGAT